TTTCACCAGTCCTGACATGCGTGCCAAATTTGGTGAGTTTTTGAGCATGCTGCGACCCCGAAAATGGCGCTTACTTTGTAAATAATCCTAACAGTTTCAATAGGGTCCTCGCAGAGTTAGTGCTCGGGCCCTAATAATAGAAATCAAGCCACAATGTCTCACTTTCTTATAGATTTTTATTCAAAAATATTTCTCTGCTGTTGAAGGACTCAGCCTACTTCTTTTTTTACAGATAATTTCTCCAGCCTTTGAAAAAATTCTCTCACAAGGGACACTTGTTGCTGGCATACAAAGATATTTTTTAGCAAGGACATACAAATGAGGAAAGATTACTGCTCTCTCTTTCCAGTAAGTTAGGGGATCATGAGTTCTGGGCAAAAACACACCACTGAAGTATTTTTTCACTTTCACTGTGTCATCAGCTGTAGCATTGAGTATCATCTGGGTCTCACGGATACGATTGTCAAAATGTTCCCATAAACTGTCCCGTGTTTCAAATGGTGATGATGGGCCTGATATTGACATTTGTGGTTCTGAATGAAAAGAAAACTGCAATTAGTAACAAATCATAAACTGACAACACATATGAAGTATAAATTTCATGCTTCACATTACATAAGATAACAGACTGAAACTCACCAGGAGTTGTACAGATCTTCTTGTAGATGTGAGCCTATGAGCCAACAAAGGAGAAAACCATATTAATTAAAATAATGACAACAATATGAGAGTTATGGCCAATTAAGACGGGTAGTATGGTCATTGTGTCCTACCTACTTGTACTGTTGATTCCTGCATTGCATTCCCTTTTTTCTGTGCAAGCTTGTGCTGCAACATCCTGTCCAGTGGTATGAGCTTTGAAGAAGACACTCTCTGTTCATCTGACATCTCTGTTGTTGCTAGTTTGAATGGTTGAAGTAGTGATAATGATTGTTGAATAATGTCATACTCAAGACTTGTCAGGGGAGCAGTATCACTGTTTAAAGTGGAGTGCAGCACCCACTGGCTCACGTTGCTCATACGAGTGTTATAGCATGTCGAATCTGCTGTTCCATCTCGTCTCAACCTCCTGTATCATTTTCAGACTTGGTCTGCCCATCAAGCCCTGCATCTCCACAAGCTTGTCCGTTGCTTCACAGCTGGATCTGAACAACCCCACTATCTTTCTGGCGTATTTCATTGATGACTGGGGTTTGATCCAGGGCCTTTTTCACAATCAAATTTAAATTATGAGCAAAACATGGGACATGGCGAAGGTGGAGAAGCTGGGCACTTAAGATCATGTTGGATGCATTGTCAGTCACCATGCACTGGGAGGTTATTCCCCACTCAGCCATTAGCAAGGCTTTAGCCTCCACGAGATGCTGGGCTGTGTGGGTTTGGTAAAACCTCCTTACACCCCGTAAACAGTTGCCATTTTTGCCTCTGGTGTTATGTAATGGCATGTTACACCAAGATATCCATCCACATTAATGGAGGACCACGTCAGCCGTAAGGCTAAGAAATTCCGCCTTTTGTAGGTCCTCCATTGTCTTCTCCTTGGTTGTGTTGTACCTTTCGCTGACCATTGTTTTAAGCACCTTCCGGGATGGGAGGACATAGCTTGGATCAAGCTTGTTCACAAAGGCCCTGAAACCCTCATCCTCCACCATGCTGCAGATCCTTCACCACCATGTTCAGAAGAGCCTCATCCAATTCCCTCTGTCTGCCTTTTAAAATAGAAGATAAAACACACTTTCAGACAAATATATTGGAAAAATAGTAGCCTACCTCTGAAAGTAGTCTACTGGTTCATTTGGAAACCTTCCTAAACAACGTTAGGTTATGAATATTTATGCACAGTGTGCAGAGAAAGATAAAGTGCATTGTAGAAGTATAACAATTAGAAAAAACAAAAGGATGTCTTGGCTGTAGATTGGGTGCTCATATGTAGATCTATAAAATGTATATTCACAAATATAATATTATATTGACAACATGTATTATATTCATAGTCAATCTGATTTTAAAGTGATTAGGATGTTGGGTATGGCTTGGTCTATGGCCTTTCTAAATAGTGTCCCAACAGTTTGGTATTATAATTAGCCAATATTTCAAACAATGCATACCTTGCTTAGATGGGCCAGCAGTGTCAGTAACAGGCCTTGGTACAGGGGGAACGCTACCATCCTCTACACCCCGCAGAATGGCAGGATGAGTGCTCCTCAAATGGCGCATCACGGATGATGTATTGTTGCAGTAGGCTATCTGCCGATCTCAATACACACATCTCACTTTACTTGGGGTTTCCAAATGGAAATGCTCCCACACCACAGATGTATGGCATCTCTTCTGTGGAGCCTCCATATCTATATCTATCTATTAATCTATATGTCTCTATATATTTCTATCAATGCATGTTTAAATGCGTCACTATATGTACTCTGTCTGTCTCGAAGTCAATGTGTAATCCTAAAGGCCTGTTCACACCGGGACGAATTTCGCGCGCGTTATTCGTCGACGTTTAACGCCTCGTGACTAAACAATGGGCGCCAATGTGAGTGTTCACACCGACGCGAAAAACGCCACGCGTAAAAGCGTCATTTTTAAAAAAACGCCTCGGGTTCGTTTTTTTGGTTTGACGCGCCGCGTCAAAACCTATCCGACCAACGAGATCGGCGGGTTTGCTCACGTGTCTGGTACTTCTGAAGTTACAGTAAAACACAACTTGAGGGCGCTCAAACACAAAACGGTCTTGCCGAGCACACATACGGCGAAGAAGAGACAAGATACCTACTGTATGGGCAAGATGAATGTTGAGCTGCTGGTCTCGGAGCACAAAGAGCTATAAGATAATATTTATATTAGTATTTCTGTAATAATAGTATAGTATAGGGTGACCAACAGTCCTGTTTTCCCGGGACATATGTAAAACGGTCACTTTGTGCTTTATAGAAATCTGAGTTGAGATGAGAACTGCGCATAGTGTGCATAATGTCAGTTAGATTTTGACAAGTGAGGAGAGGAGATAACCGCTGTGCCGACTCTTTGTATTCTTTCTTTTATTTTATTTTTCTATTGTGACCAGATGCTTGTTTGTTTGTTTTCTCTCGCTCGATCCCCGTGTATGAGGAGGACGAGTGTGACGTTTGAGTGGTTTTATTAAACGCGGGGAAATACGACAACTCTCGTCTCTCGTGCATCTGTTCATCTGACAACTGCTATGTTTTTATCTCTGGGCAACATCTCAACTTTGCGTTACACATGTCCTGTTTCCACGTCCTGTCCTGACTGTTTTTAAGTGATGAAAATGTCCTGGTTTTCAAACAAAAACTGCTGGGAAAGATCAGTTCTACAGGAAAATATAGATGGGCAAACAAGGTGGATGAGGAAGAAAAGCAAGATAAAGAAAATGAAAACTAAAGATATAAATAGATTTTGTTAGTTCGTTTTTGTAAGTTTGTGAGAGCTATTTTTTGTTACATTTGGAGGCATTTTTTAGTTATTTATTATTTATATATTTATTTTTCTATATTTATTATTTGTCTTACAGAAGACATTATTTCTATCATTATTTCATTCGTTTTTTTTCTATCTCTCAAAATAAAACATTGAGACATGAATATGATCACCCTAGTATAGTATTCTATTATTATTTCTGTTTTACATTAAGCGCCATCTAATGTCAGGGAATGAATTTGCATGTTCACTCGGCTCATCGTCAGCGAAAAACGCTTGGGTGTGAACACAAAAAACGCGTTGAAAAACGCTGACGAATAACGCGCGCTGATATTCGTCCCGGTGTGTACGGGCCTTAAATGTCATTATCACCAAAAATCTGCTATCTCAAAACCAAACTCCTCTCACAGAAACCCACGATTTGAAAATGCGTTGACAACTTTTATACTGTGTGATTTGTTCCTGAACCGACCAATCAATCAAACCCTGACTCGGTAGACCATGCCACCTGATGAAACACTCAGAAGCTTCATTTAGCCGTTGTCACGTGACGTGGGTGTTTTGAATCACGCATCGGATCAGTGTTTCGAATAGTCTTTGCTTCAGGATCTCGCAAACGATCTTCTGAATGTCTGTTTTGCGTCAGCCATAGTTGACGTTTAAAGTATTTTCAAACAAAACGAAGAGCTAGATGGACCCCTCCCTCCTGCTCATACACACAAACCCCACCTCCAGGGCCTTCTTGTCAGTCATTGGCTGGAACAGTTTGTTATATTTCGTGGAGCGGGTCGCCGTAGTTTGTTTTTGTTGCCGTTTGTGGAGCCTGGGTTGTCTGCATAGACTGCGTTTTTTGACAGTGTGTTAAGGGGACAGGCAGCTAGCGGATAGTGAGGAGACGTTTGCTGTATGCGACAAAAAAACGTTTTGGCCTAAAAAACGTACGAGATCGCTTAGAGCACCTTTAAAGGTCCCCTGACATGGGTTTTTTATATTATTTTATTATGTTTCCTGGGTTGCCCTTATAATGTTAGTATGTTTTTCAGATCAAAAATTGTCATAATTTAGAAATAAAAGGCATTTTTCCTAGCCTGATTTTAGCCTGCTTAGAACGCTCTGTTAGAAGGGGCGTGTCTGCTGAGGGATTCAATGTAACCGCCCACTGCTGTGATTGGCTGACATGCTTGCATATGAAATAGCTATATAGCCTACTACATGTGAAACTCTCTTGAATACGTTTTACTACAGCTGTTATACGTTTTTACTATTACAGATATCGAGATTACTGATTCGTGAGAAGTTTTTGAAGTATTTAGATTCTCATCATATAAAATGTTGCTGTGATGACCATTTAGACCAGTCATTCCCAAAGGCGGGGTCCCGACCCACAAGTGGGTCGCGGGAGATTTTGAATGGGTCGCCAAGTCGAGCACTATTTTTCAGTGTGCTATATATAATCTCGATGTAGTTCACCAATTAGCCGCACGAGGGAGCTCGTCGTTTTCTTCTTCTGTATATTTTTTTTTCTGTTTAGCTGCGCTCTGCGCTCGCAATCAACCGTTAAAATGGATGCTTGGCTAATTAAGAAGAAAAAGCCAGCTAAAGATCAGGCTAACACTGCCAGCAGCCAAAATACCGTCCCCGAGAGAGGCCAGAGTGAAATTAGACTAGCTAATGTTAGCAAAGCTACTTCAAGTGAAAAACGCCATAATGATGAAGAATGTGAGGAAAGCGGCACCCGTGGATGCTTTCGACCAGATGCCGGAGCAGGTACTTCTGAGGATTTGGGAGAACAGCCTCCAAGTAAGAAAAGAAAAACAAGGCCATATAAAGACTACTTCCTGAAATATGGTTTTGTTAATTATTCCAAAACGAACCAAGAAGCTCGACCCATGTGTGTTATATGCAGCGAAAAACTCGCAAATGACAGTTTAAAACCAACTAAACTAAAAAGACATTTGGAAACACATCACTTCGAGTTGGCAAAAAAACCTCTGGATTTCTTTCAAAGGAAGGCACAGGCGATTGAATCATCAGCTGAGCTTCTCCGTAGAAATGTTACATTAAATGACAAAGCCCAGTTAGCATCATACATGGTTTCTTACCGTGTGGCCAAAGAGAAGCAGCCCCATACTGCTGCAGAAAAATTAATTCTGCCTGCCGCAATAGACATGGTTAGCACGGTTATTGATGAAAAAACTGCACAAAAATTAAAATGCATCCCCCTGAGCAACAACACTGTTTCCCGAAGGATAAATGAAATTGCAGACAATCTTGAGGAGCAGCTCATAACAAGATTGAAGGCGGCAGGGGAATTTTCAATCCAGCTGGATGAAAGCACCGATGTCTCGGACTGCGCAACTTTGTTGGTATACATAAGGTACGTCTGGGAAACAGAATTTGCGGAGGATTTATTATGTTGCTTGAATATTCCTACTGGAACGAAAGGTGAACAGATATTTTCTGTACTGAACAACTATGTGGTTACACAGTGCGGGTTGAGCTGGGTCAACTGTAAAGGCATAACGAGTGACGGGGCTGTAAATATGACGGGCAGAAACAGCGGAGTTGTGAAAAGAATCAAGGAGGCAGCTGGTAAAGACATCATGTGGAATCACTGTTTCATTCACCGCCAGGCTTTGGCATGCAAAGGAATACCCCCCGAGCTTGACAAAACATTGAAAGAAGTCATTCGTGTTGTGAGCCAGCGCACTCAACAGTCGGCTTTTTGATCAGCTGTGCGCCGGCATGGGGGCGGAACACACCCATTTACTCTTTCATACAGAAGTGCGGTGGCTCTCCAAAGGTAGAGTCCTCACAAGAATATATGAACTGAGAAATGAAATTCATGCTTTTCTCCTTGAGAAAAATTCTTCACTTGCAGAGCTGTTCACTGAAGAATGGCTTATTACAGTGTCATATCTGGCGGATATCTTTTCATCTCTCAACGAGCTCTGTTTGAAACTGCAAGGACAGAATGATGATGTTTTCCAAAACTGGAAACACATTCTCACCTTTCAAAAGTCTCTGAAGCTGAAGTCCAAAACCCAGCCACTACGTGTTCCCTACTATGTTACAGCACATAGAGGAAAATGATGTCACTGACACACAAGTGAAACACCTGACTGGGCTTATAGTGACACACCTAGATGCACTCATTAATAACTTTGAGCACTATTTCCCTAAGGACAGATATGACATTTTGCATGATAAAAGGTGGATCCAAAATCCTTTTGATTTTGAAAGTCCAGAGTCACTGATGGAGCTTGGACTAACTGCTTCTGAAGAAACTGAACTGTTAGAGCTGAGCAGTGACCAGACACTTAAAAGAAGACATGAATCCATGACATTATCATCATTTTGGGTAAGCATTTCATCTGAATACCCTGTCTTAAGCAAGGCAAGCATACTGTTGCTTATTCCTTTTACCACTACATACAAATGTGAAGTTGGGTTCTCAGTTCTCACAAAAATAAAGACAAAATACAGAAATAGACTGAATGCTGCACCTGATATGCGTGTTGCAGTCTCCTCATGTACACCAAACTGGAATGAAATTCTAAAAAACAAGCAGGCCCATCTCTCTCATTAGCTGGGTAAACTGCCTTGATTTGGTGAAACAATGATTATAAAGGACTTACTCTTCTTCTGCCTGACCAACATTGAAAAAGGCATGTTTTTGATAGCTCTGAAGGTTCATTACTATTGTTCTAAATATTGTTTGCATACATATTTTGTCTTGAGAGGAAAAAATAATAGCCTGTCATACTGTGCACTTTATAAAATGTGTATATTACAGTGGGTGCATAAAAAAGTTTTCAAAAAATATTTCAGTAAGAAACTTTGTTTTTGATTTAACTTAATGTTCATGTTATTCTGGTAGATGTGCAAATCATTAAATGTTATATGAAAGGCATGCATTGATTCTGTCTGGTTTTATTGATGATAGGAAGGATTTGCACTTTGTGTTATTAAGTATAAATTGTGTACACTGTAATGATGAGAATATGAAAACAATGAGATGCCCAGTCAACTCTTCCTTTTTTCATTTCACCTCTGCATTTTACTTATTGTCAACAACAGGTTAATAAAAAATTGTGCTTTGTCAAATATCTGTCTCTCTTTTAAATAATTAACTGGAAGCTTAACTGACCTTAAAAATCGTCATACATATTTTGTTAATGCATAAAATCTTCGTGATAAATGAACTATATGGGCCTAATGTTTATTGGGTCACAAGGATTTATCGACTTTAAATTGTGGGTCCCCAGAAAAAAAGTTTGGGAAACACTGATTTAGACGACTCAGAGACGACTCAACGCCTGCGATATGTTATGCCGCCGTTTTATACATAAACAATATTTATATTTAATATTTATATTTAAACAATATGAATGTAAGCCAGAGGAGAACTGGCCCCCGACTGAGCCTGGGTTCTCCCAAGGTTTTTTCTCCATCCAATCTGATGGAGTTTGGTTCCTTGCCATTGTCGCCTTGCTTTTGGCTTGCTTTGAGCTTGCTCAGTTGGGGTTATTTAATATTTAACAATATTATTGATCTGTGTTGTACTACTTTCATGTTATCACTGTGAAGCTGCTTTGATACAATCTGTATTGTGAAAAGCGCTATATAAATAAATGTGACTTGACTTGATTTAGCAGCAGCAGATGACAGTCTGTCGATCGCGAGAATGAAGATCTTATCATTAGGCACGTTTCCATTACAGATTTGCGCAAAACTTTTGCGATATTTTCCAAATGGCGATAAAAAACTATTTCGAAATGACGCTGTTTCCATTAACCGATGTTATGCGACTAAAATGTCTTATTTTTCCTCTCGCGATAAGTCATTCCAAAAATCATGGCAAAGGACTTTGGTAGGTTTATTCACAGCCATGCACCGTACTAGATTTTATTATTAATGGAATGAGACGTGGTGTGTTATCCAAGCATTAATGGCTGGGAAAGACACGGGGTTGGGTGTTTCTCCCTAATATTTCTGATTCGTTGTCTTGATGGCATTTCTTTGAGGTTTAGAGAGGCTATTCCTGTAATTATTATTGTTTCTTTTTCTTTTTTTTATATCAATTTAATAAATAACTATGTCCTATTATGTCCAAACGGTCGTTGCAAAACGAAAAATGAACTATTTTTTTTACTATGTACTATTTTGTACTATTTTTTTTCACCCCAGGTCTGCCTGAACACTGTGCATCCAAGGCGATTGGTTTCACAGATAGGCTGCTCCTCAGGATACGCAGGAGGCTCTCTGGTGGCCTGGGTGTCTCTGAACCTCTCCTTCACATGGAATACGTTAGGGCATGCATCGAAGAGAGTGGGTCATGGCAGCTCTGTGGTGTTCGTGTGGAACGTGCTGATTGTCAGTGGCCTGTGAACATTACCTAAGCACACATTTCCAACAATGACCCACCCCAGGTCTAACGTCTGTGCGTAAGGCAGGTGGTGAGGGCCATTCACCTGTTTGCAGACTTTATGTACTCTGATAATGTCTCGTCCTAAGAGAAGCATAATGGGGGCTTGCGGGTCAATGTCTGGGATGAGGTGAGCCACTAACCTTAGATGAGCATGATGAAGCGCTACTTCGGGGGTTGGAATCTCCTCTCTGTTGTTCGGTATATCAGTACATTCAATGAGGCTTGGCAACGGGAAGCGAACAGTTTCATCTAAAGACTCCACCTCATAGCCACTGGCCCTTCTGCCTGCTGATGGTTTCACTCCAGCACATGTTCTCAGTGTGTAAGGAGAACTTGGACTTTGGTCGTCAAACATGTCAAAGAACTGTGAGCGAACCAGTGACCTGTTGCTCTGCTCGTCCATGATCGCATACGGTTTCGCAGCCTTTTCTCTAAGGCCGGCTGGGAACACTTTAACGAGGCATATCTTCGAACAGGAGCGGTCGGTGAGTTCCCCTCCAGAGACTTTTGTGCATTTGCTGGTGACCTGAGACTGCGCTGAAGCTTCATCCCCCTCCCCGCCATGCTGCCAGGGTGCAGGTCCAGGGTGAAGCGCGGGGTTGTGCCCGTCGCTCTTACATTCACAACACTGGACATTGAGTTTGCAGTCCTTTGCTATGTGAGATGAGGAAGACAGACATTTAAAACACATTGTTTTCTTTGAGGAGTGCTTTGGGCTCGTCAATGGGCTTCTCCATGAACGCTCGGCACTTACGGAGAGGGTTTGGCTTTTTATGCAACAAACACAGGTTTGTAAAAAAAATGTAAATTTAAAAAAATGAAAAAAACATACACTGATACAAATCACAAATACTGGCAAAGGTAATGAAAGTACAACAAAAAATATAGAACATAACACTACATAAATACTTGACAATATGATTTAACCAAATGAAAATAAAACATTTTCATGCAGTGAAAAAAAAAATCATTCCTTTTTGTTTAATTGTATGCCTACACATCTCAATGTTTTGTTGGCACGTTTTGGTTCTTGTACAAGTGGTGTGTGGGATGGTGGCTCTGTGTCAAGTTGTGTGTCTTCAATAGCATAAGGAGGTGTGTCAGTTGGTGTGTGGTGTGTAAATTTGTAAAGTCTTTATCCTCGAAGCATGGTGTAGATGGTCCAGCTCTGTCGTCATCAGTCATTGTAGTGGTGTTAGTCTCTTTTGACTCAATTTTGATGATAAACTCAGTGTGTTGTGACTTATTTCTGGTAGTTCAAGTAGAGAATCAACAATATCATCATCAGATCGGCTGTGTTTTAAACCAGCAAGTGTGCCAACAATGCTATTGCCAATTTTTACTGTAAACATTTTGCCAGATGTAGATTTCATGGTAAGTTTTCCATATGTTTCAATTTGGATTTGCAGTTGATTTGAATTGAGTTTGACATTTTTCACACAGTATTTTTGAGCTGGATAGTGACTGTAATGGGATGTTTTAATGGACAGATATAAGTGTTTGTTATTTGTGCGCCAATTATTTCACAGTTTTGAGTGATTGAAGATGTGGTTGGAACAAAGGTTGTGGAGCTTTGAGATTGAATGATTGTGAACTCTGTCTTTTGTTGTAGTAAAGTATGTTTTGTTGGTATATTGTCTTACTGATATGTTTGATACACTGTACCACTGTTCAATGTCGAGGCAGTGCTCGCCCCAGACAGTCAGTCCGCAGATGATGATGTCACACTCTGTAAATGTTTTTTTTTCCTGGAAAGTTCCATCTCTCATCAGATTGTGCCCTTCACTCTCTTTTTGCACAATTTTCACATGGAGTAGTACCTATTGAAAAAGAAATGAACACAAGAGTAGTAAAACAGTATGTTAAAGCTGTTCTTTTCGATTTCAGTAACACAATGTTTATTTCAATTACATCTATGGATATTTAAACAATGATAATGATTTTTCACATGCAGATAAATAATTTACATAGAAATTCTCTTTAAAAGCAGACTGTGGAAACATTTTAAAATCATGAATTGTACACCCAAGTCACACCACATGTTTGAAAGACAGTAGTGTGTAATGCTCTAAACAGCCCCTAACCTAAGGACCTAACTTGAACATTTACTCATGTCAGCAAAGTTCATATAAGGGGATCTCTATTAGTTTGTGGCTAATATTTAGGTAATGTGTAAACACTTAAATAAATTTAAAATAGATACTTTAAATTTACATTCAAATTTTGTTAAAAAAAAATGTACTTACTCGTTCATATAGGGAGCTGGATTTAAGAATTTTGTCTAATGAAACAATTTTTTTTATCCTCTTTTTGGGTGTTAAAAGTGAACCCGACATCTGCTGCACATAGTATTTTTGATTGGTATTTAAAACGAATGTCTGTCCTTCCAGAATACAGCTGTGAAGGTCATATCTCCACGTTTTCCAGCTGAATGGGTCTCCTAAGAGTTGCATGAATAAAGGACATGTAGTTACTTGTCTGGTATACAGCTTAAAGAGTAAAGTCACACAGTCCAAAAATAAGACTGTTCTTTAAAGGGTTTTTTGTTTTTTTTGTTATTTTTACGTTTGGTAACATTTCTGTTTATTATTGTATGATACTAAATAAACTATCATATACTAAAATGGAGCTTTGGGTTACAGTTTATGGTTGTTTATTCCTTCTTTAAAAAAATCTTTAACTATCAAAGATGCATAATTAAAACAAATAGCATAGACTCAACAAATTCTAAAAAAGGTTGATTATATCTTGAAATCTTTTGATGTTATGTTTCAAATTCTTTATATAATCTTTATGCATGAACAATCTCAGTCACAAGATCATTAACACCACCAAATTAATCTCGAGGTTACAAGTTAATATAACATATGGCAGATTGAAAGGTGAAACAACCTCCAATATTAATAAATATAAATGAAAATAATAATATTAATCAAATCAATATTTATGATATACAGATATTAATATCAATGAAAATAAACTAAAATAATACAAGCATTTTTTAAAACACTTATACTTTATACAAATATTGTTTATTTAGCTCCAAAAAGGGTTCTGCATTTTTTTAAGAGTCAACGAACTTTAACTTGGTATTGTTTAGAACCATTTTTAAGAATGCATAACTATTTCAGAGCTAAAAGGTCATTGTGAATCGACTT